AGGTTGTGAGAAGTGCCGCTCAGAGAATGATGTGGGGTTCAGGGACAGACAGTGAGGGGGGCGCTGCTTGATATCTGATGGTTAGGGAAGGCCTCTGGGGAGGGGCTGTCGGGTCGGAGACCTGCAGGCTGGTGTCGAAGGTCGGAGAGCCTTTGGGCAGAGGGGACGGCACATGGCTCTGTCGCTGATGAGGGACTTGCCTGCTGTGCCCCAGGTGAGGTCTGCCCGCGCGCCTCCTGTAGACCAGCTTCCCACCAGCATCTCTAGGCTGGCACCCCCATTCAGTGCTCAGTGACCGCGACCCGCAGGGATGGCTCTGCTCTGCCTCCTTGCTGACCTCCCTCCTCTCACATCCTCAACCCTCCAAATTGTGGCGCACTCCCCAAAGCACAGTGCCGGCGCCTCTCTCGTGCCTTCTTCAGGGCACCAGGGTGGACCAGGAGCGGTTCTGGCTCTGACCCCCCGACCCCACTCCCACGCCTTCCCTGCTTTGGGGCCTGAGCACGTCACTGAACCTTAGAAAGGTCTCTCATCAGTGAGTAGTGGGCTCGAAATCTGTCTCTGCAGGATTTTGATGAGAACTAGAGTCCATCATAAAACATCCAGCGGATGCCTGATGGTGCACCGGGATTCAGCACAGAGGCGCTCGCACCACACCCCATCGTGTGCAGGAAGCGCTTGGAGTTTGGGGCAGGGTCATACCGTGAGCAGGCCTCGCAGCTCTGGGCCTTGCACGTCTCCCCCTCCCTCCAGCCTCCTTGTCCAGCCGGCCTTTGAGCCCAACACCCCCCACCCCCAGCAGTCCTTCTGCCCCCGGAGCAGGCAGAGCCTCCTGGTCAGAACACACTGTCCACCTTCAGGCTACCACAGCAGCCAGGTGTGAGCGCCTCTCTCTGCCTGGTACACCCTCCCGGCCTCGAGGCCTTCCGTGCTTGGCCGAGTTGGGGGCATGCATGGAACGGAAACCCCAGCTGTCTCCTGGAGACAGACCGGTCTCTAGACAGTGACAACTGAAGCTGGTGGGGAGTTGCCAAGAAAAAGGAGCCTGGTAGAGCTGGGGAGTGGGGAAACGCGGGTGCGGGGCTGAGCGTGTGGTGACAGGGGTGGAAGTGTGGGGTGCAGTGAAGCAGTGGGCTGTCTGGTCCTCAGTGGCAGGAAGGGTCTGGTTGGTTCAGTGACAAAACCTTAACGGGACCAGGGACCCCTGGCTCCCTCCTGACTGCCTTGTCTTAGCCCAGTCCAGAGCATCGTGGCACCCTTGATTATCGAGGCACGGCTCTGGTGATCATCTACATGCCCTTCCCTCTGGCACAAACCCGGTGGGGGTGGGGGATAGCTCCAGGTCAGAGCCATCGCTAGCTCCCTGGTGCCAGCACAGAGCTTGGCATGCAGCTGACCTGGCTGCTGTTGACTGAATGAAGAACAAGATAGTACCTGGGTTAAAAGCTAACTTACAGGGGCTGAAGCAAAAAGTGGCCAAATTTATTGGCTTAATGGGCCTGAATAGTTTGGCTTCAGGTCTGGCTGGATCCAGGATCTTTGTGATCCAGGATCACTCTCTCTACCTCTGAACTTGGCTTTCCTCTGAGTTTGCTTCCTCACTAGAGACACTGTCTTCCTGGTTGATCAGGACAGGTGCCCACAGCTGCATAAATGGGAGTCCATCTTAACTGCCCCGCAGGAAGAGGGCTCTTCTCTCATAGGCCCTGGCACTCACCGTGGCTGGTTCTGTAAGGGTCAGCTTCCTGACCCTGACCGGTCACTCCTGGAGGCTTGGGGAGGACAGCAGGGAGTTGAGGTGCTATGTGCAGTCCCACCCAGCACCTGAGAGTAATCGGTTGACCAGTGCTTGTCTACCCAAGGGTCAGGGAAGGGATGTGGGCCATTAGGCAATTCCACCAGCTCACAGCCACGGCAGCCTCACTGCAGGACAGGTGGTGTCCCCGACACTTGGGGCTGCTACAGGTTTTCAGGCTTTGACCTCCCGACTCCCCTGTGCCTTCACCACCTGCCCTGTGCCCCCTGAGCCAACCTTCTACCCAGAAGCCAAGCCCAAGCGGCCTGGCTACGGGAGGATGGTATACATAGACCTCCACTCCTGGGATCACACACTTAGGGAAACCTGCAGGGAAGAGCCCCCAGAGTCAGGGCGCCTGTCACTGCTCCCCGCCCAGCCGCAGTGGCTCCTGTCTCATGCAGAGAGCAAAGCCCTGTGCCCTCCCTCCACCTGCCAGTGCCCCCTTCCAGTGCCCTGGCTTCCTGGGGCCCTAGACAGTGACAACTGAATCATGCTGGATCATGCTAGGCCTCCTCCCACCTGGCATACCCACCCCCTCCTTGCTATCTGCTGTCTCATCCAGGCCCCCCAGCTCCCTGGTGAAACTGCCAGTGAGAGCTACCCCCATCCCCCACGTCCCCCACCCTCCACACTGTTGCTTCCTGGTTTTTGACTCCCACTTGGATGATGGTGTCTGTCTCCCCACCAGCTCCAGGCTGGCAGGGATGGCCTGCGTCATCACCGCCCCCTGGTGCCCAGCCTGTCCTCACATCTTGTGGGTGCCACAGCACCTGTGCGCAGAGACCACAGGCCCTCTTCCTGTCACCTGATGCCAGGCATCGGGTTTCTCGCTGTCCGTCTGTGAGGGCCATAGCAGGTGGAAGGGGAGGCGCCTGTTGCCCCAAGCCTCTCCCTGGGAAGCTGCTGAACTGCGCCTGGCACCAGGTCCCCAGAGCGCACACCAGGGGTCCCTGCAGCTTGCATGTACCCTGGCCCCGTCGTCCTCAGGCACTCCCCGTAGTGGGAGAAGGGGGCAGCGCTCCAGCTACACAGCCGGCTGGCTGGCCGACCTGCCCTGGTGTGTGCTCCACGCCTGCCACCCTGGCTCTTCACCCTGGGGGGGTGCTTGGCCTCTCTGCATTTGCTTCCCCTTCGTACAAGTTGGAGGCGTGACCAGGCCGCTCTCAGGGCAGCCTGCAGCTGCGAACCTCTGCGGAGAGGACTTGGCGGTGCCTGACACAGAGGCAGCCCCTAGTTCTCAGAAGCCGTGGCCGCTGCTGTCCCGGCTTCTTCTCTCCAGCTGCGCGGCCTCTGACCCATGTCTGGGCTGCAGCTGTTTGAGCAAGTGTCCCTTGGCTCGCAAGTTAGGTGTGCGTCCCTATTGGGAAGGAAGAGACCGCTGCCGCTGTCGCTCGCAGCCTCACCAGAACAGAGGCTGCAGCCTCCGCACATGCCACCCCGTGCGCGCATGTGCGCCCCCTTATGGCCCCTGTCCCTCTCCTCACCCACCGTTCATTCCTTCGGCTCCGCCTCCGCTGCTGTCAGACCCCCAGAGCTTTGGACTTTGGATGCTGAGGGGAAATGCGTTTGAGGCCTGGCCTGGCACACACTCGTGTGTCCGTGTCCCACACGTGTGACCCCCTGACCTCGCCAAGCCTTCCATGACTAGACAGGCACTGTTGGGTCAGCCACTCAGTTACCACAGGGACCCTGGAGTGGGCACGCTCATGCCCACTGTAGGGAAAAGGTGACAGGCACATGGGTGAGTTGCCTGCTCAGTCAGTTTACGTGGGAGCCAGGAGCCCACCCCTGGCATCCTGGCCCCAGAGCTTGTATTGTTCTTCACCAGGCGGGGAACTTGAGGTGCCCCACCTGAGGCTTCAGAGTGTGGGGGTGGGCAGTAAAAAGCTCCTCTGGCCCCACTCACTTCAGGCCGGAGCTGTGTCCCTCACAACCCTGCATCCCTCTCTTCTGAACCAGGCCAGCCTCCAGCCCAGCCTTTAACCGGCCCCCCCCCCCCCCCCGCCATGCCCCAGGGCCTTCGTGCTTTTTGCTCCCCTGCAGCACACTCCCGCCCTCCCTAGCGGGCAGTCCACAGAGGGGTGAGCCTCTCACACTGCTGCTTTCCTCTCTGGCGCGCCTTCCTCACTACCTGTTCCCCCTGGCGGGGAGACCGCAGCTTCACCGTATTGGCTGTGGGCATCGAGCCGCGACCTCTAGCACGGGTTTTGCAGCGTGTGGAGAGATAGCCTAGGCCACTGCGGGCTCGCTGGGTGAGCGCCTGTGTGTGGGGGTCGCTCAGGCTGTAGAAGTGGAGGGTGGGACCCTGTGACGGTGCTCAGGACCCCCCATGTTGCTTTTTATTTTTTTTAAAGATTTATTGATTGATTGATTGATTTATACATACATTCATACAAGCACTGGGTACAGTCAGAAGCGCGGGAGGGTGAGAGAATTCACCAGAGGCAGAGCGGGGAGCAGAGCAGGCAGAAGGACCGAAGGACACTGCTGAGGGGAGCAGCGGGCGGCAGGAGAGGTCTGCGCGCCATGTGGGACCCTCCTCCGGTGGCCGGGGAGCAGCCGGGGATTGAACCGGCGCTGCAGGCTGCGGGCAGCTTTGCAACCCAGCGCTTAACCGCTGCGCCACCGGGGAGGCCCCCATGTTGCTTCTTGATCATCTCATCCCATCACCACACATGAGCAGAGGTGTGTAGGGGCCAGTGCTAGACTCCCGGCTGAAGGCCCTGCTTGCTGCCTTGGGCCACCCAGACAGCCCTGCATTGGCTTCTGGAACATTTCGTTGTTGAGGGTTTGGGCGTCAGAACTGAATTTGAGTTCCTGCTGTGCGGCTAATCAGCTCTGTGACCTTGGGCACAGTGTCTCACCTCTGACCTCAAGGTGCGGATTCATTCCCTCCTCTAGAAAAAACATGACTGGACACCCGCCCTGGGCCTGGTCCTAGGCTGGATGGGGTTGGAGACATGGGGGACCAGTGCTGTCCCAGCCGTGCCGTGTTTGTGTGAAGGGCCTGGTGAGGAGTGGAGGACAGGGCTCACTTGACTTGGGGGCAGCCAGGGACACCTTGGGCAGCAGTGGCCATGAGGGGCCTGGAAGGGAGGCCCAGGCTCAGTGGGCTCTTTATCATGGGTGCTCAGAGGCCTGTGTGTGGGAGGGGTGTGCCCTGCATGTGGAGAGTCACAGGCCTGGTCCTCTGTGCCTGCAGCCCAGAACGTGACTGTGGACGAGGTCATCGGGGCCTACAAGCAGGCCTGCCAGAAGCTGAACTGCAGACAGATCCCCAAGCTCCTCAGGCAGCTCCAGGTATGTGGGGCAGGTATGCTCAGAGATAGGGGTGTCGCCAGGTGAGGCTGCAGCCCCCCTACCCGCAGTGACCTCTGGGCCTCTGGTGTCTGTGAGGCCTATAAGTACACCCGCTGTCCCGGCACCCCTTGGAGCCTGTGTGAATACGTCTGTCAAAGGCCTCTGTTCGGTTGTAAAAGTAATCAGGCTCTTCATGAATGTTTAAGCAGCACAGAATTATATAAAGCAAGAATTTGTTATCTTTCACTCCCCAAAGAAATTCTGTTTCCTAGGGTAAAGCCATGGCTACAATATTTATTTTTAAAAGTCTGAATAGCAAAACATATATGCTGAATTTTTTTTAATTAAAATACAAAAAAAAAAAAGATTAAAATACTTAGACATGAAAAGCAAATCCACTTCTCTCGCCACCTCTCTCCCCGGCCACCCTCTGGAGTCCCTCCTCTGTCTTTCCTGTGCTGTTTTTCTTTTTCAAAAATCTTTATTGTTTTCAGTTACTGAGGTAACATTGGTTATCTCAGCACTGTCTGAGGGGTACAGTTCACACCTCTTCAGATGTCTGTCACACACCACACCCACCTCCAAAGTGGCCACAACCTCCGCCCTGGTCCTCTCCTATCCGGGGGACATAGGCAAGTTTCCTGTGACCCATCCTGTCTGGCCGAGTGGTAAAGCACTGAGTTCATGCCTTCCCTCGGGTCTGGTCATTCCAGAAAGTTCCCATGGTGGTTGCTTCCTCAGACAGTGCTGCTGTGAGCAGTCACGCTCACCACTCAGTACAGCACATCTCGGGTAGGGATTCTGTGGAGGGTTCCAGAAGGGCTTGTTGGCGGGTCTGGGGAAAGATGGCCACATAGCGTGGGTCCCGGAGTGTGGGCCCTGGAACTGACTGATCAGGCCCGAACCAGAGTCACTCGTGAGTAACCTTAGGCAAGGCTGGGCCTTAGCTCTTTGTCTATACACAGGCCCATCATAGCACCCACCCCAGAGTTTGTGTGTGTGGACCCCAGAGAACAGGACCTGGTACGCGTGTGCGTGCATGCATGAGTGTGTGTGTGTGTGTGTGTGTGTGTGTGTGTGTGTGTGTGTGTGTGTTAGGGCTCAGAGCAAGGAACCAAGGGAGGCTGGGAGGATGTCTGACTGGTCCCTTCACTCCCATCTCTATGTGCTCACTGTGTGTGGTGCCCTATGCCCTGCCTCATAGGCTTTGCGCTGGCTATTCCCTCTGCCTGGAATGTTCACCCCAGAGACACCCACAGTCTGCTCCATTCAGCGGGAGCCATGAGCTGCACCCAGGCCTACCTGATCTTAGGACTAGGTCAATCCCAGGCCCTTTGGTACAGAGCTGTCCCATTCTCTGGCTCTCTGAGGCCCTGCACCCCACTCCCCAACCCCATCCAGAACACTGCCTCACCTCAGCAGCAGAGCCGACTGGACCCCCAGCTGCCCCACTGTCGGGTCTAGCCTGGCCTCGGCCAAGTCTGCCTGCCCTAACCTCCACCCACTCTGCTTTCCCAGGAGTTCACAGACCTTGGACATCGCATCGACTGTCTGGACCTGAAAGGTGTGTGTCTGGACAGGGCCAGAGTACGCGGGAGGTGGCATAGAGGGCAGTGTGTGGGTCCGGGCCTGCCGCAATATCTTGCGGGCCTGCCACAAGAGCTCAGCTGGGCTAGGGGCTGGATCCGAGAGGGAGGTGCTCTTCTCAGGGAGGTGTCGGGGGCCACGGACCTTTCCTCCCTCCCTGGGCTCAGACCCGTGCGTGATTTACGTGCTCATGCTCCCTTTCCCAGGTGAGAAGCTCGACTATAAGACCTGCGAGGCCCTGGAAGAGGTCTTCAAGCGGCTGCAGTTCAAGGTCGTGGATCTGGAACAGACGAACCTGGATGAAGACGTGAGCAGCCCCCACCGCCCACACCTGCTCCCTGGCTCACTTGGCCCTTAGAGGTTGCGGGGAGGGCACTTAAGGAGGAGGGAGCCCTCTTGGGCAAAGGGGAGGACAGGGCCTCTTGAGGGACAAAATGGGGAGACTTCTGCCGTAACCAGAGTGTATGGGAAGCTTTGGGCTCCTCGGGCCCATCCTAGAAGCAGGAGCTTCGTAAGCGAGGGAGAGGCTTGGAACCCTGATGCAGCGGGGATGCGGCCACCTGGGGATCACGGTGTTTGCAGGCGGAGTGTGAGAAACACCCTGAACGTGGCCTTCCCGTTTAGGCCCAGTTGTCCTCACTTCCCCAACTTAGAGGCCACCAGGAACGGAGGCCAGGGATCCCGGAGGACAGAGGCCAAGGTCCAGGCCCGGGTTTCATCGGTCAGGACTGCCCTGGGGAAGAGCCAGACACCGGCTTCTGTAGGGAAAGCGGAGCGGGCTGGTTCCCATAACATGGAAGTTCTGGAAGAGCATCGGGGTTCTGCCTGCTCCCTCCCCCTAGTCTCTAGACTCCCACCTCCCGGGGAGCTTCGCCCTGAGGCTGACCCCCATCGTGTCTGTCCCAGGGTGCCTCAGCCCTCTTCGATATGATCGAGTACTACGAGTCAGCCACCCACCTCAATATCTCCTTCAACAAGCACATTGGCACCCGGGGCTGGCAGGCTGCCGCCCACATGATGCGCAAGGTGGGTGCCCGGGCTGGGCCCTGTCCAGGGCGAGGAGCTTGGGCGCTTTCCCAGGGCTCCCCGCCCTGAAGGCCTGATTCTCTGAGCCCTCGGCTGTGGGCTGTTGTGGTTCCCCGCCCTCCCTGCCTCTCCTCTACCTGCAAGCGTTTCCCTTCCTCCTGTGAGCCAGTCATGTGTCCCTTGGAAGCCAGTGTGGTCACCACCCCGCGGGGAGCTCTGCCCTGCCCTGCCTTTATGCCCCTGTGGGCTGGGACAAGGTGGGGAGGTCCCCCAGGTCATGGGGGACTATGGCAGCCTGACCCAGCCCTGCACCGGCCCCACCAGACAAGCTGCCTGCAGTACCTGGACGCCCGCAACACACCCCTGCTGGACCACTCGGCGCCTTTCGTCGCCCGTGCCCTGCGGATCCGCAGCAGCCTGGCCGTGCTGCACCTGGAGAACGCCAGCCTGTCGGGGCGGCCCCTCATGCTGCTCGGTGAGCCCCAGGCCAGGGCGGCTAAGCGGCGTCTCGCAGCCAGCTCCTGGGTCGGGCAGTGGACGGGTACTTGGGCCTGGCCAGTCATGGCACCCGCCTTCCCTGCGCCCTCAGCCACAGCCCTGAAGATGAACATGAACCTGCGGGAGCTGTACCTGGCTGACAACAAGCTCAACGGCCTTCAGGACTCAGCCCAGCTAGGCAACCTGCTCAAGTTCAATTGTTCCCTGCAGATCCTGGACCTCCGTAACAACCACGTGCTGGACTCAGGTGTGTGTGAGGCCCCACCCGGCGCCCACTCTGCCCGCCCAGCGCTCGGCGCTGCTGCCGACACAGGGGCAGCGAGACAGTCCCCGTCGTGCCCTCACGGGGCTCATCATCCATTAGGGGATACAGACCGCCTCCTGGCAGTGCTAACTCAGGGCAGGGCTGGACTGTGGGAGTCCAGAGAGGGCGTCTGACTCACTCTGGGGGTCAGGGAGGGCTTCCTGGAGGAGAGAACAGCTCAGCGGAGGCCTGCAGGGGGCGTGAGGTACTCAAGAGATGATTAATCCGGAAAGAGTGCCTTGAAGGAAGCAAGGTGGTGGGGAGAGGCTTGCGAGGTGGTGCGGGGGAGAGAGGGGGAGGGGAGCTGTGGGCAGGGTGAGAGGGGCTGGGGCTAGAACCAGCCATTTTATTAGTCTGGGGAGAGCATCCAGGTAGAAGAAAGAGCAAGTGCACAGGCCCTGGGGTGAGAGAGCTCAGATGTTGAATATTTGAGGGAAGAAAGCCACGCCGAGCCCGGGGGGGGGGGGGGGGGGGGCGGGCGGGGAGTGGGGCGACTCCAGCTCACAGCAGGGTATGAGAGAGAGAGAGAGTGTGTGACCTGTCTCACACTAAGCAGACTCCCCTGGTTGGTGTAAAGAAAGAGTGGGGCAAGCAAGGCCTGTGCCTTCCCAGACGGCAAGTCTTTCATGGTGGGGTGTACTCGGGAGGGACACGCAGGCGCCACGGTGGGCGGGAGGGCCAGCCGGCTGCTGACATGAGGCTGGCCGGGACGGTCTCGGGAGAGGCAGCGTGTGGGCAGAGCTAGAGCACACGGGAGGAATGTTTGGAGACGGTTCTGGACCCAGACGGGGGAAGGCAGAGGGATGAGAAAGGCAATAAATAGAACCCTGGGTCCCGCGTGGACCGGGAGCTCTGTCAGGTTCCCGTAGAGGATTTTCGTGCTTTCTGGATGGCCGTCGGTCCCACACCGGTCCCCGGGCCGCAGTGCGGACTTGCTCACTCCCCCCAGGTCTGGCCTACATCTGCGAGGGCCTCAAGGAGCAGCGGAAGGGACTGGTGACCCTGGTGCTGTGGAACAACCAGCTCACGCACACGGGCATGGCCTTCCTGGGCATGACGCTGGTGAGCGGGGTCCGGGCAGGGAGGGGCAGGACTCTGACCTACACCTGGCTCTCGGCATCCTCTTCTGCTGCCGTCCTGCCTCCCAGCCTTGCTCAGTCCGCGAGCTTCATTCCTGCGTGGCCCTTGATTCCGCTTCTACCCTCTCTTCCCGGGGGACTGGGGCCCTTCTTCAGTTCTGGTCTGTTTGCACCCAGCGCTGTGGCCTAGTACGATGCTTTGGCACAAGGTGAACATGTTCTGCATAGAAAGTTAATATTTCTAGAAGTCTTCAGCAAGTCTCAAATCTTCTTTAGGATGCAGTGTTTAAAGCAAGCCCACAAGGTCCAAAAATTCACACCCAGGTTCAGAAACACCCACAGCCAATCCGGTGTCAAGAGTCCTGAGGACATGGTGTGGGCCCAGGGTGGCCTGGGCCGTGGGATGTGGGGACTGGCTGGAGGCACGGAGGGCCGGGGATGAACAGGACAGTTGCTACCTGGTGAGATGTTAAGTGCTTGAGGGATGCAGCCTCAGGGTGATCTGGCCCCGAAGAGCAAAACAGTTTGCCTTTTTCCTGTTTTCACTCTCTCCGCCCTTTCTAGCCTCACACACAGAGCCTGGAGACGCTGAACCTGGGCCACAACCCCATCGGGAATGAGGGTGTGCGGAACCTCAAGAACGGCCTCATTGGCAACCGCAGCGTGCTGCGCCTGGGCCTGGCCTCCACCAAGCTCACGTGCGAGGGTAGGGCGCACAGGGTGGGCCGGGCTGGCAGGTGGCGGGAGCTGAGCATGGCAGGCTGGGCCGGGGGGCGGCCAGCCAGGCGTGGGCCATGGCCAGCCCCTGCGTGCCCCCCCCAGGCGCAGTGGCAGTCGCAGAGTTCATCGCCGAGAGCCCCCGCCTGCTGAGACTGGACCTGCGGGAGAACGAGATCAAGACGGGCGGGCTCATGGCGCTGTCCTTGGCCCTCAAGGTGAACCACTCCCTGCTGCGCCTGGACCTCGACCGGGAGCCCAAGAAGGAGGCGGTGAGCGGGGCTCTTGCCTGAGACCTGGGTGCAGGACGGGGGCGTTTGGGGGACAGAGGGTGCGACCCCAGGCCCCCCACGGGGACAGGTGGCCCTGGCGCCAGGCCACCCCGAGCCCTAGCCAGCCTGCTGCCTGCCGCAGGTGAAGAGCTTCATCGAGACGCAGAAGGCGCTCCTCACCGAGATCCAGAACGGCTGCAAGCGCAACTTCGTGCTGGCGCGGGAGCGGGAGGAGAAGGAGCAGCGGGTGCAGCTGTCGGCCTCCATGCCCGAGATCACCGTCACCGAGCCCCAGCCGGACGAGGAGCCCGGGGAGCCGGCGCACGAGCCCGCGGCTGAGGCGCAGGAGAATGGGGCCCCCGGGCCTGGCCCGGCCTCGGACTCAGACTCAGACTCCGACCAGGAGGAGGAGGAGGATGGGGAGAGGGCTGAGGCCCCCTGCCCTGCCCTGGTGCCCCCCACGGACTCCCTGGGCCCTGGGGACAGGAGCCCCCCCTCCTCCCCCACCGAGCAGCGCATTTCCGTGTCCAGCCCCGGCCGGGGCCACAAAGTGTTTGTGGTGACCCGGGTGGAGAGTCCTCCTGAGAAGGCCGACCCCCCTCTGCCACCCCCCCCACCCTCACCCCCCGTGTCTCCTTGTCCTCCCTCCCCCCCTGCCTCATCTTCCCCGCCCTCCTCACCTGCCCTGCCGCCAGCTGAGGCCGTGGGCACCCAGGACCCAGGGGGGTCTGAGCCTCAGCCACCGCCAGAGCCGCCTCAGTCAGGGCCCCCGCTGCCCAATGGCCTGAAGCCTGAGTTTGCCCTCGCACTGCCCCCAGAGCCACCCCCAGGGCCCGAGGCCAAGGGGGGCAGCTGTGGCCTGGAACACGGTGAGGAGAGCTCTGGGACGGGGCGACAAGGGGCCCCGGGGAGGCTCCTGCCCGCTGGCGAACCTCTTCCCCCCCTTTCCAAGGGCCCTTCAGGAGGCAGGAACTAGTGGGGCTTGATCCTAGGGCCCCGCCTTGCTCCCTGGGACTGGGTCCCTCAGATGGGGTCTTGGTGGTTTCCGGGCCTGCGCTCCCGGCCTGTCTGGCTTGGGCTGGGCTGCCAGCTGCGCCTTCCCCCACCTGACCGGAGGCCTCTGTCTGCTCTTCCCGCACAGAACTGAGCTGCTCCAAGAACGAGAAGGAGCTCGAGGAGCTGCTTCTGGAAGCCAGTCAGGAATCTGGGCAGGAGACACTGTGACACTTTAGGTGAGGCGAGGCCAGGGGCCAGGGCAGGTGGGGAGCAGCCCACAGCGCCCCAGGCTCTGACAGGTGCTCCCCGATCTCTTCTCCCCGAGATCCTTTTTTCCGGTCCGTCTTCGACGAGCTGAGGCCAGAGCCATGAGAATCTGTTCACCTCACCCCCAGCCTTCCTGAGGCCCGGGACGCCGGGGGTGTGGGGGGCCCTCCGGGGGCCCCGCCCCCCACAGCAACACTACACGGGGTGCAGGAGGACAGGGAGCGGCCTTCCTACCCTGACTTACGCACTTGTGTTTGTGGGCCCGGCCCCTGAAGACTCCGGGCTGGGGGCGGTGGGACGCTGAGGAGGGAGAGGAGCGGAGTGGGGAGAAGGTGGACGCCGCGGGCACCAGCCGCGGGGCCGGGCACTTTGGCCAGCGGAGGGCGGGAGCCCTGGGTGGTGGCACAATGGGACCCCGCTGGCCCCAGGCCGAGGCCCGGGCAGGAGGCTTTGTGGGGGCGGTGGTGGTGGAGGTGCAGCCCCAGACAGGGCGGGGGCCGGGGCCGGGGGGGCGGGGCGCGGGGAGCAGAGGATCAGAGCTTTCTTTTCTCAAGTGCAATAAATCCATCAGGGAGCCGGGGCCGGGGCGGCGGGGCTCTGAGACCCTGCTGTCCGGGCCGCGCGAGGCTGCGCCCTGAGAGGCACTACAGACGGGGGTGGGGGGCGCGGGGCGGGGCGAGGGGCGGGCGGGCTCCTTGTCGGTGCAACTCTCTTCACACCTTTTCTAATAAACCAGAGCTGGGTTCACCGTTGCCTGCTCTCTGCTGGTGCTGGGGCGGGGTTCGGGGCACGGAGAGGGTGCCCAGCGCTTCCGGCCGTGGAGCCCGCGCGGGGAGACCCGCCGGCCAGCCCGAGGAGAACCAGGAGGCTGGACGGACCCGAGCTGAGACCCCCACTGCCTCTCCTCCCAGGTGCCCCTCCTTGAGCCGTGCCCACGCCCTTGTGCCCGGTGCAGCTGGCACAGCCCAGTTCACGCCACCGCCGTTCAGAGGGAGACCCCCAGAGACTTTCCAGCTTCCAGGCGCGAAGAAAGGGCCCTCGGGTTCAGAGCTCACCCTCTGAGGCCAGGCTGTCCCCGCAGCCCGGCTGCATGGCGGGTGGCCTGCGGTGGTGTCTGGGCACTCTGGGTACTCTTGCCCTTCAGAAAATGAGAGTAGCCGAGCGGAAGGCCTTGGCACCTACCCCTTCTTTCCCGCGCGGGAGGTTTGGGGCGGGTAAGAGGATGGGAAGGCCGTTGACTCGCTCACCAGCGCCGGCCTCCGCCCCAGCAGCGTCCGCCATGAGCTCACCCTCCTGCCACTGGTGCGAGCCCGCCGATGTCGGCAGCTCCAGGGGGCCTAGCCGCCAGGGGCACTGGCATGGAGGGGGAGGCCAGGGAAACCCTAGCTGGGGCAGCTGGGGAACACCTGCCGGCCTCCCCCCCTGAAGTGGTTGGCACTGGGGGGCGTGAGGTGTGTTTCAGGATGCTGAGGAGCCCCTTGGCTGGGCGGGGCTCTGTCAGAGCAGCCTCCTAACTCGCTGAGTAGGTCTGGTTCATTTTAACTGTCGCCCAGGAATCGAGCCCAGTGGGGGGCTGTGGGCTTTGGCATCAGTGTTGGGTGCTTGCCTGTCCCTCTGCCCTCTGCCTCCACCTCCAGGTGGGGTGCCCAGCTTCTGTTCCTTATGTGTTTCCAGCTTTGTTCCTGCCCTGGGTGGGGCTACATTTAGCTTGGGGTGAGGAATCGGGCCTTCCCAACTCTTAGGAGTGAGTTGTGTATCTCTCACCCCAACCTCAGACCCTTCCCCCTGCAAAGACATGAAATGCTAACCCCAGGGCCTCGGGTGGGACCTTTTTGGGGGTGTCTTTACAGAGGTGATCAAGGTCACATGAGGGTACAGGGTGGGTTCTAATCCAACGTGAGCGGCGTCCTTACGAAAAGGGGGAAGGGGAAGTTGGTCACCGAGCGGGGGTGACCGAAGCCCCAGAAGGCCCTGGGAAGCGGAGCACAGGCATGATGGACGCAGCCGCCACAGGGGTTGCAGGCACAGCGCCAGAAGCGGGAGGAGGTGAGGAAGGGGCCCCTGCAGGTTTCCCAGGGCGCGTGGCCCCCTGATCCTGTCTCCAACTTCTGGCTTCCAGAACTGTGCGAGAATGAGCTGCTGGCCTCCAAGCCACCCCGTCTGCGGATCTTAGTAGAGCAGCCGCAGGAAACTAACCAACCAGCTCTGTGATGCTCCCGATTTTCTGACTCTTGGGGGGTCCTGGGTCACAGGGGTGGAGTCCCTTGGCCCAATATCTTCTTCCTGAACATCGGACACCCAGCACAGCCCGTGCTTGGGACGAAACATTTGGCTGCTCGGCCAGATCCTACACCAGGTCTTAAACCCCTCAACACCCTAACTCAGGAGACGCGCGTTTTCACACACGTGGGTATTAGTGTGGTGCTCCCCACAAGCACTGGTGGACCCAGACCCCTGCCCTCTTGTGCCTCAGCCACCCCCAGGTTCCCAGGGGTCCCTGGGCAGAGTGGAGAAAGCGCACCTGCAAAGGACACCCCTCCCTCTACCGGGGAGACGTAGCCCCGTGAGCTCATCCAGGTGCCAGTTCCCAGCAGACACTCCCCACTGCAGAGGGGCTGGCGGGCAGTGAGCTGCTGGGCCACCACCAGCCACTCCCACATGCCGTTTTCATTTCTTCACAAAGCCCCCAAACTCGCTTTGGCGGGGATGGGCCGTTGTCTAAGATAAATGGACAACGGTCAGGCCATGGCTTGGCCCCATGTCACGGGGTCTGCAGTCTTTTCCCGGGTCCTTAGGGCAGGCAGGGTCCTCAGTCCCAAGCTCCAGCCAAGTGTCCAGCTTAGCCCTGCCTCCTGCAGCCACTCCCCCACCCCCGAAGCTGGTTTGGCCTCAGCCAGGGCCTGAGTGGGGAAGACAGACAAGCCCAAGTCGAAACAGGCTGAAGGGAGGAAAAAGCAAGGGACACATCCCGGGTCTAGTAGCTGTGCGGGCGCTGGCCTGCCGCTGTTGTGGGGACCCAAGTGGCTTCATTCTCTGGCAGGCCCTTCCCTCCTGCTGGAAGACACCTCCAGCAGGGCTGACTGCCCCCCCCAGCACAGCTGCTGGGGAGTGACAGCCAGCCCCTTTACTGCCGGCTCCAGGAAGGCGCCTAGGCCACCTCTGCCCCGTGGCCACTCTGGAGAAGTCGTTGTCCAGGGGGTCTGGGGTGCTGTGTCAGCCTTGGAGCTAAATCCCCCCTATCAGGCCACAGAGCCCTTGGCTACCTCTGGGACTGTCCCCTCGCCCTCGGGGCCCTGGCTCAGAAGTCAGGCCCTCAAACTCTGGTCACCTGGGGTTTTTCAGTGCTGGCTCCTCTGCCACTGGCAGGTACAGTCCCACAAGGACTCAGAAGCTGATGACGCCTGCATCTTAGGTCGCTGACCCACTGGGGCAGGTGGGGGAAGGTGGTGCCAGCCAGCAGAGTCCAGCCCAAGCCCTCAGCCACCCCCTATGACCTGGGCCTGTTGTCCTACTTATATCCATCTCTGCTCAAACTCCCCCTATCCTCAAGGGGTTCATCAAGTGACTTCAGTGTCAGTGACCAAGCTGTGGTCCCGGAGTGGCACTCCCTCCTGTAGGCAGGCACTCCCTGGCCAGTTACTTGTCTGGGGCTGGCAGCGCCACCCACCCAACTGGCCCAGGTGAAGACTGATTGACCCATTATGTTGGGGGTGGGGTCCCCAGGAATGGTACAGCCTGCTGAGGTCACCAAGGACACCACCCCCGGAAATGCCAGCTGCCACCCTCTCTACAGAGGGACAAGCTAGGGCGTGGGGACCAGGACCTAGATCCCCTGGGGCCTGGGCGCTCTCCATTGCTGAGTCAACCGGGCCATCGGAGCTTCCTCCATCTCTCCTGTCTACGCCCCACCCGCCGCCCCCACAGCCCCACCTGCCGGCCGGATGCCAGCCAGGAGGCTGCCTGACGCCCTGGGGATGAAGTGGACTTGGCAGAGGAGGGCAAGCCTGGCTCCAATCCTCACAGAATCCGGGAGACCAGGACTTGAGACCAACTGGGGGTCTTTCATACCTTCATTTATTGCACTTGAACCCTGAGTTCCTGGCCGGCCTGCACCGGCTCAGACATTGGCACCGACACACTGTCCACCTCCTGGTGGTCACTGCCAGCAGCTCTCCCGCTGGCGGATTCACTTGGGGAATGTGGCCCCCGCAGACCTCACTTGGGACAGCGGGCCCTGGGCCCCGGCCCCGTCGGCGACCCTCCACCTTCCTCTGAGTGGACGGATCAACAAGCTATTGCCTCCTGCTGCCCCAGAGCCCTCCCTTCAAGGTCCACCTGGGTTGGATTGCCGGAAGTGAAGGGCACCCCCACCTCGGGTTTTGGCCTGCCCGCCCTGCGTCCAGTCCGGGGAGTGGTGGGCTTCCTTAGGGCTCCGCCGGGCCTGCCCTGCGGTGTGGCCCGACTGGGACGCCCCAGGGGCATTGTTGGCTCCCCCGGTGGAGTTAGGGGTGTCGCCGTCGGGGGACTTGGGTGGACTGGGCGGCTTGAGCGTGCTGACGGCTCGGATGAGGCCCATGCGGCGGCGGATGGAGTGGTCCAGGTTGACCGTGCAGCGCAGCAGGCTCTGCGCCTCGGCCACGGTGAAGGGGAAGTCCGTGCCCAGGAAGCGCTCGAAAAGCTCGGGGTCGCCATCCAGGTCGAGCACGTTCTGCAACGCCTTAGTCATGGTGTGCAGCTCGCGGCTGTTGTCACAGAACACGTCCCAGATGCGCGCGCGGGCCTCCGGCGCGCCCCCGGCCTGCTGCCGGTCCTCCAGGCACTGCAGCACCCAGCTGAGGCGGCAGGGCCACTGGTTGGCGAGCACCACCCAAGCCACCGCCTGGCGGGGCGTGGGGCCCACGAGGTCCCCCTGCAGCTGCTGCTGCTGCAGCAGGCGCACGGTGATGGGCACGGTGTTGACGATGCGCCGCATGGACACCACGTTGTCGGGCACGTACTCGTAGAGGCAGTCGCGCTCGTCGTGCAGGCAGAAGAGCGCCTCCTGGATGCGCCGCGCGGCCTCCGCGTCGATGCGCTGCTGCGCGCGCGCGCCCCCGGCCTGCGCCTCCACGGCCAGCAGCTGCGCGCCCTCGCCGGCCCCCTGGGCCCCCGCGCCGGGCCCGGGCGCCTGCAGCTTGCGCGTCATCTCGCGGTAGAGCAGGTCGTCGCGGCTCTGCACGGCGTCGTGCAGGAACTGCAGCTTGGTGCGGCGGCCCATGATGGGCACCGAGAAAGGCAGCGTGACCGTGCGGTTGAGGAAGTGGTAGCCGTTGTCCGCCGTGCCCTTCATGGAGCCCGCGCTCTCCAGGCAGGCGGCCAGGATGCTGGGGTCCACCACCAGGATGAAGATGAAGGGCGCGTGGCTGTCGGACAGCAGCGTGTTGATGGCGTTGAGCACGCCCACCACGCGCTCCGGGTAGCAGGTGTCCAGCCCGGTGACCTCGAGCACCACGCGCAGCCGGCGCCGCTGGTAGATCTCCAGGAAGCACAGGAAGTCGGTGAGCAGCTCCACCTCCTTCTTCACCTCGCACATGAAGCCCAGCTGGGTGCCGAACTTCTCGCGCGACACCAGCCGCTCGATCTTCTTGCGCTGGCTCACGAACAGGTGTTTGCCCACCGAGTACACGGCCATGAGCAGCCCCGAGCCGGACAGCGTGGTGGCCGCGCCCCCGAACACCCGCAGCACGTTGCCGCCCGCGCCGCCGGGGCCGGGCGCGCGCGCGCCCACCGACAGGTACAGCAGCCCCACGCCGAGGCCCAGCGCCAGCAGCAGCGCCAGCAGCCCCAGGAACACGCGGCGCCGGCAGTGCCACTCGCGCTGGCAGAAGTTGGGCGCCGCGGCCGGCTTGTTGCCCAGCACCGAGTACACGCTGAAGGGCAGCGCGCCGTACTGGTGGCGGATGCCCTCGCACAGCGTGGTCACCAGGCCGGCCCACAGCTTGTCGGTGCCCGCGTACTGCCAGGCGCTGAAGCGGATGAAGAGGAACCTGACGTTCTTGCGCCGCAGGTGCACCTCGGTGATGACCGGCTGCAGGAACACCAGGTACCACAGCAGGCGCGGCAGGCTCCAGCCGCCCACGGCGCGCGGCCGCCACTGCACGCGCTGCAGCTCCTCCGCCTCGCGCTGCGCCGCCTCCTGCTGCATCAGCGCTGCGGGAGGAACCGGGAGGCGGGGAGACCCCGTGAGCCGCGGGGCTGGGGCGCGGGGCCCGGATATCGGGGCCGGAGTGCTGAGGGGTGTTCCAGGTGGACGGGAAGGAGAGGCCTGGAGGCCGGTTGGGTCAGGAAGAGGTCAGAGACCGCGCCAGGGTCAGGGGTGGGCAGAAGTGGAAGCCCCCCCCAAAGGGGAGACGCTGGAGGGGCAGGGAGCACCTTGCGGAATGAAAGAAGGGGTCTCGTCCGGCTGCTCTTCCTGCCCAGCTCATTTCCGCTGTCTCCTCCTCCAGGACGCCCTCCCTGATCCCCAGGCTGCATGAGGTGTCCCCTGGACGCCCCAGCCCTGCCCACTCCTGGTTGTCATTGTCTGGGGACAGGTCAGTCCCCCCTGACCTGGACTGTGAGCCCAGGAAGGGCAGCGCACGAGTCTCAGTCACCCTGGGTGCCCTGGGCACTGAGGAGGCCCTGGGGAATGCCTGAAGGGTGGCTCATGAGAAGCCCAGGATGGGTCTGCCATGAGGTCAGGGGATGAGCGACAGGTAATGTCACCAGGCACAGCGGCAGTGCCTGGCGGTGCCCAGGGCCCGGCACGCTGCTTCCTATTCCCTCACCCCCTCATCCCCTCATCTCTTTTCCTCCCTGGACCCCGTTTGTGGCTGTGACAGCCATGGGGCGGGACCCCGGCTGGCTTAGCAGGTGCTTCCCGGGCTGGGCACACAGGCGAGTCCAGCGCCTCTGGCCGCCACCGGGGCGGGGTCTTGTGCTCCCGCGGGATCCAAAGCGGGACCCACTGCCGGGGAGCCCGGCCCGCTCACGTCTTCAGGGAACACCTCGGAGACCCGTGCGGCGTCTCGTGGGCCAGGGCCCGGGAGGAGAGAGGGCCCGGGAGGAAGAGGGGCCTGGGCAGGGCCTGCAGCCTCGCTGAGGAACCTGGCTTCCCCCTAGGGCTCCGGGGAGCCGCGGCAGGCTAGCGAGCAGGGGTTCGGTCTGTATTTCATGAAGGGTCCTTGGAGAGGGGCGGGAAGGTGAGGCTGGAGACCAGGAGGCCAGAGGGGCAACAGGAAACGGAGCAGGGCCGGGGGGCAGAGGCTGTGCGTGTGGGGAGGGCGTCCGCCAAGGCTGAGCTCCGGGCATCTGCATGGGGTGGACCGGCCTCGGGGGTGAGGGAGTCGGGGGGGGGCTTGGGGCTTCGTCTCCGTATCCCACCCACCCCCCCGTGGGACGCTCACCCGTGATCTTGTCCAGCATCATGTGCAGGCGGCAGCCGAAGGGGGCGTAGAAGCCCACGGTCACGGGCACGGGCACGTGGCAGAGCGTCTTGGCCAGGCAGTTGCAGTAGACGTCGTCCTCGGTCAGGATATCTGCGGCCGGGGTGGGGGGGGCGGGGACACCGAGTCAGTGAAGCTGGGTGGCGTCACCCTCCTCCCGCCTGCCCCCAAGGCGCTGCCCCTCGGCCACCCAGCTCAGCCAGCAGCCCGTGGGTCCCTGCAAAGTCCCACCAGCCTTTCCGGGCCCTCGAGGCCCTGGTGCTTACGACACCGCCTTCCCCGACGCACGGTACCGTGTCCGCCGGCCCGGCCCAGGGTGGAGGGGCCCCGGCCCCCACGGGTCCTCTCAGCCTCCCGCCCACCTGCTCCCTGGCCTCTGCCCCTCACCATGACCCTGTGCCCAGTCACTCATCCTGCTCCAAGCCCGCGCTGGCCGCCTGCTGGGCCTGCCCCTCGCCCCTCTGCGTGTCTGCAGGAGCCGTGCCTCTGCCCCCCCCTCGCCCCAGGAGTGTGGGTGCCCAGGGTCAGCCAGGGCGGAACCTCGGTCACTGCCGCGGCCTGGAATGGCCTCAAGGGTGCAGATGCCGGGCTAAGTCCTGGCGGGACTTAGCTTGTGCAGGCACTGCCCCTGGGCCCCCCCGAGTGCTGCTTCGTGGACCTGGACTTGGGGCTCCAGAAAGAGAGGGTGCAGCTGCGGTGGGCGTGTGGAGTGGGGACAACACCCCCACTTTCTAGAGGCGCCGAGGGCCTCGCTGGGAGGACGGGAGGACGGGGGACAAGGTCAGCCGAGGTGGCGGCAGGGGTGGGTCCGAGCTGGGCGCCTCACCTCGTTAACCCTCCACTTCCCGGTCCGTGCAATGGGCCCTGTGGCCGCGAGGCTTCGGGCCGAGGCTGCCCCGGACCTGCAGCCTGAGCTCCGCTCGGCTCTTGCTCCACTTCCAAACCAGGCCCAGAAGCCAGCCACGTTCCCACCTCCCCGCCAGGCCCTGGCCCCGCTCCCCCGCCCTCGCGGTCACCTCCGCGGGCCACCTGCCGCCCTCCCTTGCTGCCTACCAGCTGCTGCCTGTGCGGCCCAAGTCAGCCCAGAAGCTTCCCGTGGCTCCCCCCTGTCCCGGGCCTCAGCACCCCGCACCGGCCTCCCCTCTCTGCCTCCACCTGTCCCTCCAACCTGCCGCCTCCGTCTGCGGAACTGCCCCATCTGGGCGCGATGCCACCTTGACACCCCCTCGCCCGATGAGCCTATTTGATCTGCAAACCAGGATGCGCCCCGCCTCCTCGCCAGCTTCCTCGGCCCCCCGCAGGCTCTCCCCGGGTGACACCCCCCGAATTTCCCGTGGGTGCCTCCCCGCTGCCTGGAACACAGAGCAGCCAGCTGGGGGAGGGCGGGGAGCTGCCCCCTGTGGCCCCCCAGACCAGAGCCTGGCGGCCACCGCGGGCGCCGGGCACCTGCTCCCGGGTGCGAGGCGAGCGGAGGGTGAGGGGCCAGGGTCGCTCCCGCCGCCGCTGTGCTCTCCCCAGCCTCCCGGCCCACGCTTGCTGCCGCCACCCCCTTGGCCTGCCCCTGCCCCAAGCTGGTGCTCGTCCCCCCGCCCGCCCCCCAGGGCCCAGGGCCAGGGAAGGAAGGGCCGCGAGCGGGCAGCAGGACAGCGGCAGCGGGAGGCGCCGTGGGCAGGCCCGGCCTGGAAGCCTGGGATCCCGGCAGGGGAAGCAGAGGCGGGTGCCCGAGGCCCGGGGCCGGGGACCGGTGCCCACAGAGACGGGGACCCCAGCGAGGTGAGGGCAGCCCCGGTGCTGGCCAGGGAGCGAGCAGCCCAGGCGGGAAGCGGGCGGCGGGGCGGGGCAGGGCCCGGGGACGCTGGGTGAGCACCGGAGCTGTAGGAGGTGAAGGGGCCGCAGGCTGCCGGGGCCGGCAGGGGCCGGGCATCGGTGGGCATGCTGGGCTCCAGGAGGGTGCGGGCCGCGGAGGGCAGGGCTGGGCCGCTGCTGGCCATGGCGGGCGGCTTGGTGGGCGCGGGGGCCGGCTGGGGGGCGCTGGCGGGTCCCATGGGGGCAGCGGTGGTTGCAGGCGGCCCCTTCTGGGCCTGGTGAACGGGGCAGAGCCGCTGCCGCAGGGGCCTGGGAGGTGGGGCCTGGGGCTGCCGCTGCCGCTGCAGGACTGGGGGCTGGGGCTCCCCGCGACAGCTGCCATCACCACCACCCCCCGGTGGCCAAGGGCCCGTGGCCAGCGCGCCGGGGGGGGTGGCCGGCAGGGCCCGTGGGCTCGCGGTGCTGCTGGGTCATGGCACCACTGGTGACAACATCCTGGAAGGAAGGAAGTGGGGGTGACTGGGCCTGGGTCCCGGGGGGACGGGTGGCAGCCAGTAGAATCTCCACGAGGAGGCTGGGGCTGGTCGCTTAGCTGACACCCCGAAGTCAGAGGAAATGAGGGGGTGCGGGGCTGAGAGAGGCTGGGCCCTGCCCTCTCCCACCGCTGGGGAGGAAGAGGTCCAGGGGCCCGGACCTGAGCAGCAGGAGAGGCCGAGAGGGATGACCCCCTAGACCCCCTGCTTCCCCAAGCCTCCTGGTCCCCAGGGGGTCCCCCTCAGGGGAGGAGTCCATCCTTGGGAGCCGGCCTGGGTGGTCCGGAGGAGGCTGGAGTCCTGGGAGGTTGAGGGGATGGGCCAGGGGCTGGGAAGAAAGGGGGTGAGCCTTGCATCCGGGCTCCAGTCAGCCTGGCAGGCGGGGCTGCCCTGGGGTACGCAGGTGCCGGGCTCGAGGAGCTTGAATTGGCCCTAACGGGAAGTGTTTCCCCGGGACGCCCCCCTCATCATCTGTGCTCAACAGGGAGGCGGGCCCCTCCCTCCGCAGCACCGAGTCCCCCCAGAGTGTGGGAGACGACCTGGTGAGGGGACTTCTTCCATCTGGGGGAAGGGACAGGCCAGCGAACCTCCACTGCTGGCACCCACGCCCCCCAGGACCTGTGCCCCGCTCCACTGCCCTACGCCGGAGCCTCTGTGGGGGATCCAGGCGGCTTCTCTGAGGTCCAGAGACCGGAGGATCTCCTGCTGCTCGGCCATCCACCCAGCGGCCCCCACTCATGGGCCACGTTCCCTCCCCAGACCCACCCCCAAGTTGAACCCCTACCTTTTTGGTGCCCCAACTCTGGATCCAAGAAGTAGCGCTCGGCGGGAGCCCGGGGGGGCAGGGCGCCCTTGGCAAAGTGGACAGCGTGATGTTTTTGCATGGCGGCCCGGGGCCTGCTGGGGGCGGGGGGTGCGCTCAGTGCCAGAGCCCACCCCGGCATGGCTCCCTGTGCCCAGGGACATCCCCGTGTTGGGGTCCTGGGGCACCACGGTGGGGCAGAGGTGCTCTTCAGAGTAAAAGCCTGAGGTCAGGAGGAGGGAGGGATGGCCAGACCAAGGAGGATGGGGGTGTTGGGGGCTCACTTGGGGGGCAAGAATTCCAAGGGTTGGGTGACTGGGTGTTTAGGAGCCCCTGGGAGCTTCCAAGAGCCAGGGCAAGGGGGTGCTGGGCAGATGTGGGCCGGGAATATGTGGGAGGCAGTGTGACGGCTGGGTGAAATGGGGGGAGCAGCAGGTATTGGGGAGTGCTGTGGGGTGGCAGTTTGAAGGGACCTAGGAAATGAGGGTGACTGAAATTTCAGGGCTGGGTACATCGAGGGGGTTGAATGAGCCTGGGAAGGGGCGGCTTTCTGGGGGGTAACAAGTGAGAGCAGAGAGAGGCTCAGCAAGTGGTGGGGCGAGATGGGGTGCATGGGTGAGAGCTGAAAGCAGCAGTGACAGATGCTGTCCGGCAGGCAGGGGCAGAGGAAGCGGACGGGCAGAGGAAATCGGGGTGTCGAGAGAGCAGAGGAAATCAGGGCTCCGGTGTGCGGCCCCTGCCCCACCCAGCCTGGGGTTCTCGTACCTGACCGCGGCCTTGCGGCCCCAGCTCCAGCCGGGCCCAGCTGCTGTGCCAGCCCTGAGGACTGTGGACCGACTGCCGGGCAGGCCCAACTGGTGAAGCCTGGAGCCGGGGAGCCGGAGCCGAGCAGCCAGACCGGTTCGCCCGCCCCTGTGCCCGCCCCTTCCCAGCCGCCCGCCAGGTCCAGGTGCTCCCTGCTGTCGAGGACTAGGGGTGGGGGTGCGCGCTGCGTTCAGTACCCCAGTAAACTGTGGAGATGGCACCCGTGGTGCTGCCCAGGCCCAACCTATAGGGGCGGGGGTGTCTTGGGGCCTGCTGCCACCACCGCCCCCATCCTGCCACACACACACGTGCACACGCACACACATGCACGCAAGCACACACTTGTGCTGTGGGAGGAAGGGAGCTGGGAGGGGGATTAAGAGTCCAGGTGTGAGAAAACGCACTATCTGGGCTCAGACGCCCGTTCCTCAGGGCCCAGCTGTGTGACCTTGGCCAGGTGACTTCACCTCTCTGAGCGGCAGCTTCCTCATGCCGAGCCAGCAGGTGGTTGTCAGGAGGAGCGCGCAGAGCTTGGAGCCCGGCCCTTAGCAGCCATGGCAGCCAACCGCGCGGGCACTGCCGTTCGCCTCCAAATGCCCCGCACCCCACCACGCCTGCCTTGCTGGAGGCTCACCGGAGCCGCAAACGGGTACCCGCTTTCGGTGCAGGAACCCCTTTCCTCCTGCCATGGCCCAGCGGGATCCGTGAGGCCCGCTCTGCAGATGAGGAAACTGAGGCCTGAGAGGTGAAGGCCACGCCCGCGTCACCAGGCAGAGTCGGCTTTGGGGGCCGGCCGTGCGGTTTGGCTGCGGGCTCACCGAGGCCGCCTCCCTCCACCTGCAGGCGCCCGGGGGACTGCCTGCTGCACCCTCTTCCAGAGGGGCTCAGAGACGGGGCCCCTGGGGAGCTGGAATGGCACCCGGGACAGGATGGAAGGGACCCCACATGGCCAGGCCGCGTTTCCCTCCAGGGCCTCTGCCTGGGTGACCAAGACCCGCTTCTCCACCCCAGGGGCCGCCCCTGCTGGGAAGGCCGCCTCCCTGCTCCGCGCCAACGCGGGACCCTGTACCTCCCGGCGCGTGTGTCTGCATGTGGGGTGAGCTGGGGGTGGGGGAACCAATCCCCCACTCCCCCCTCCCTTGATTCATTTGGGAAGCACCTGCCAGGCTCTGTCCTGGGCAGTGCTGGCGCCTGCGGGGCCCAGGGCAGGCAGGACGAGACTGCCTAGGAGGCCTCCCTGGGCCCACAGAGGGATGGGGGGCGATGAAGTCAGCAGAGGGGGGCGGGCAGCGGGAGCAGGGCCTGGGAGCTGTCCCGGGCTGGAGAGGCCGCGTCTGCCCCAAGGCCACAGAGACCCCTCCTGGTGGCTTTGGGGCGCACCCAGCCTGGGTTCAGAGCCCAGAGGCCGGGGTACTTACCCGCAGGGGGCAGCAGGCGGCAGAGTCCAGGCCAGGGCCGGGATGCTAGGAATATAACCGGGCGAGGAGGCGGTGGCAGGGGGAGGGGCAGGGCCAGGGAGGCCACGCTGCCCAGGGACGGGTCAGCCAGGTCACTGCCCTGGCGATGACGCGTTTCTGTCAGGCATGTGAAGTGTGTGTGCACGTGTGGGGGGCGGGGAGGGGAGGGTGTCCAGCCTGTCCCTCCTCCTTTGTCCAGCCCCAGCCCCGGCCACCCAGGGCCCGCCCCCTGTCGCTCACCAGACACCCCTGCCCTGCGCCTCAGGGAGAGGTCCATCCTGTGGGCCCCATCGGGCAGAGGGCGGCCTCAGACTTGTCGCTACTGGTGGGGCTGCCAGTGCCGGGGGCCACCTTCCCTCTGCCAGGTGTGCAGGGCGGAGGCACAGGCTCCAGGGCCTCAGGCCTTGGGGGGAGGGGGCCAGGCAGGTGAGAGAAAGAAGGGGAGCTACACAGCTCCCCTCCCCCCTCACCGACCTGTAACACACACCGTCGGTTCCCAGACCCCCGTCACCCCCCACCTTCCACTTGGAATCCAGTTCACACAAGCCTTTATTAGCAGACAGGACCACCCGGCCCCCCAACAGTCCTACAGCCCCGACAACGCCCACTTCTTGAGCACGAAGGACCCCCGGCAGCACCCGGCCTCCCTCCTGGCGTGTCACACCCAGAGCCCGGGATCCCTGGCACCTGCCCTCTGGCCAGCCCCGAGGGTGGCAGTCGGGTGCCTGGGCCCGGGCGTCTCAGGATTTCTGGATCACCACCTGGAACTTACCTGGAAGAGAAGGGCTGGGTTTAGGGGAGGCAGGGGTCCGCGGGGAGAGGCGGGAAGCGCCCGAGTGGCTCAGGGGTGTTCCTCCTGCCTGCGCCCACAGTCTGGGTGGCCTAGGGCTGGAGTTTCCTCACTGGCCAGAGGGGATGATACTCCCCGCCCAGCTGACCTGCATCCCAGGGCTGGGTAACTAGGGGTATGAAGGGCCAAGCATGTAGGCCGCCGGGGAGGGGCCTGGCCCGGGCTTCCGTGGCATGTGCTGCTCAGTCCTGCTCACTGAGCCCTGGGGGCCCCTGTGAAGGGCCTTGGGGTGCTGGCAGCAGAAAAAACACCTAGTGGGAGTTGGGGGAGAAGGAGGGCTGGTTGCAGGCTGCCCTGCCTGATGGGGGGCCCCGTGCCAGCTCCCCGGGTCAGTTGCCTTTGGAGCCCCCAGCCAAGCATCAGCCAGATCCGCCTGGCCCCCATGCTGGGAAGGATGTTGGAAACCCCTAGGCCGGTCCATCATCAAGGGCACCCCTGGGGGCTGACACCCCAGGAAGCAGGTGGGGGGATATCAGGGATCCAGGCATGGACTTAGGTTCTCTGGTCTCCAATTCCCCGTCTGCTCGGCAGCCTGGCGCTGCTTCCCCCACCCTCAAGAGCAGGGACGGGGGCGCCCTGGAGCCCCCATCACACCCCGGGGACGGGAGGAACCTCCCAAAACTCACAGGCGGGCAGGGATGCCACGGAGGCGGTGACCAAGCTCTGGATCCCCAGGGTGCTGAGGGTGCCCCGCAGGAGGCCGCAGGGGAAAGCCAGGAACTGGGGGCGGGGGCACAGGTCACCGCGGGAAGAGGCCAGGCCCGCCGGGCCCCGCTACGCTCTGGGCTTTGCTCTGGGCTTTACGGAGGGGCCCGCCCCTCCCCCAGGCCCCTGGGGCTGGGTAAATAGGGGGGAATGGAGTTTGGGTGGAGCCTGGCAACCCCCGTACCTTAGGTGCTTCCTCCACATACTGAAGGCCTGAGGCCATCCGGACCAGGAGGGGGAAGCTGTTGTCCTGCAGGACGTAGGTTCCCTGGGAGCAGAGGAGAGGCCATGGGTGGGGCTGGGGCTGCCTGAGTATATCGTTGAGGTGGGGGGGGCTGCCGGGCTCAGACCGGAAGGACCCCTCCCCCCAAACTGCTGTGGTCACAGCCCATCCTTAGAGCTACAGGGGGGGGGGGGGTGGGGGGGGGGCGGTGAGGGCTTCTCCACTCAGGCCCGGTGTGCGCCCAGGGGGTGCTTGGGTCCTGCCCCTCTTGCTGCAGGAGAAAAGAACCACTGTCCAGGGTGGTGAGGAACTGTGGACCCACCTATGGGGAGCCGAGCACGGAGCGGGTGCCCGATGGGCACTGGCACTGGGCTGAGACACGCTGTCCCAGCGCGCGGAGGTGGGGGCCCTGCAAACCGCCTCAGTCCCGCACTGCAGCGCCCGGCTCCTCTGAGGACACCGGCACAGTGGGGCGGGGGCTGCCCTCGGGCGCCCGGGTCCTGCCTCCCGGCTCGGGCAGGCCAGGGCTCCCCTCCTGGGCCTTTGAGCTTTCAATCCGCCCGCGACCAGGAGGCCGGGCGGCACCGTACACACCTGGTGGTTGGTGCGGAGGCTGTCCATCTGCTTCTGGAACATGGCCGCCCACAGGTCTTTGCACAGGAACTTGACGACATCCAGCTCCTCCTTGAAGGCCAGCATCTCCCGGGGCAACCTGGGGGCCGGGCGCCAGGTGAGGAAGCAGGCTGGGTTCCTGCAGGAGCATCGCCCCCTCCCCTCCCGGTGTGCCAGGGACAACGCCAGCCTGCGGGGAAGGCAGGAGGGCCGGCTCTCACCTCTCACCCAGAGCCTGGCCCACGCGGAAGCCCACGCCCTCCAGGACCGACAGGCTCGTCTTCTGTCCCTAGAAGGTCAGGCAAGACAGGCTCAGGGCGCCTCGGCCCCCTCTAGTCAGGGCTGCTGGGGCTGGGGGCTGCGAGGGGATTCTAAGACTGACGTGCCCGTCCCTGCCGGGGCGATGGGGGTGCCCCCAAGGGAGGGGTGTCCTGACTGCCTGGCTCACGCCTCCACACGCCTCCACAGTCAATCCTCAGGCCTTAAGACAGCCTGGAGCCCGGGGAGGAACAGGTGGGCCCGGGGCAGAGAGCTGCTCCCTAGTGGCATTCTGGAGGGCAGGCCGGGGTCCCACGCGGGGAGGAGCTGAGGCCCAGGAGTGGGGAGAGGAGGCAGCAGGAGGGCAGCACCTGGAGGCTGCCCATGGGTCCCGGAGAGCTGGGCTAGAGGAGAGCCAACTTGTCTGCAGTTTTTGTTGGTGTGACCTGGAGGTTGCTGAGGGAGGCGCAGGTTGGGGGCATCAGAAAAGCCAGGGTGGCCTCAGCTCCTCACTCCCCAGAACGAGCACAGCCTTCCTTCCCGCCCAGGCCCATGCTGTCAGGGGGCCTCTGGGTGGGAGGGTGGCACTTCTTGGCTCCAGTCCAGCCCTGGGCCAGGTCCCGGCCTCCCTTGGGAGCTTCCCGCAGACTTCCCTCCTGCACCCAGCCCGCCCCACCGCCCTGCACTGCCTCCCACTCCCTGCTGCCTCTGCCCCACGCCTGGATGCCTCATCCTCCATGGAGGTCACCACCCCCGGGGGCCGCCCGCTCTGTGCCATCCCCAAGTTGGGACCCAGAGGGACCCCCAGCAGCCCGCACCGGCCTCGGCGCATGGGACACATTTAGGATGCTTCTCAGCTGCTGAGGAAGCACAGTGAGAAGTGGGGGTGCGCGCACTGCTCGGGCTGGTGCTCGGGGAAGCCCTCTCAGGGGGTCGCATCTCCCCCAGGGACCAGGCTGGAGGCAGGGGATAAGTAAAACCTGCCTTGGGCACCCTCAGCCATGGGGGAGTGGGGGGCTGCCTCCCTGAGCAGGTCGACACCCACGGCTGTCCCGGCCTTAGTGAGCAGGCAGGGCTGAGGCCCACCAGGTAGGCAGTGCCAGGACCGGGCGGCCTGGGCAGAGGCGCCCACCATTCAGGCCCAGGCAGCCCTCTTCTCTGCCAGCAGCACCCAGGCCCTGGGTGACGACACCGCTTCCTGTTGGGTGACAATGGCTGCTCTGGTACCACCTGCTGGTTTTCCTCAGGTTTCCTCAGGCACAGCAGAGCCATCCACCAGGGAGGGCTCTGGGAGTCTCTTGTGACTCAAGACACCCAGGAGGTGGGACCATGAGGGGCACACGTGCCTGCTGGCCCAGCTCCACCCCTGCCTCGTGGCTGTGGGATGGGGCCAGTGGCTCACCTGTGCCTCAGTTTCTGTACGTGTCAAAAGAGGACCGTGTTAACAATACTGTGTCCCAGAGTCCTCCTGGGCATTACAGGAACCGGTAAAAACAATCCAAACCCACAGACCCGGGCTCAGTGACTGTCATGACTGTCACCATCTCCATTCACAGCCCGTGTCTGTCACCCTGGGTCGCCACCCCTTGGCTGACCCGGGATGAGCCCTCAGCTAGAGGAGGGCCTCTGTCCTGGGCGCGGGCAGGTCCCACACCTGGAAGGCCGCCCGGCTCTCGCAATCCCTCCATGTCACCTGCCCGCTAGAGGGGGCTCCACCCTGACCTAGTGTATTTGGGTCCCCAGGACTTAACCCCCCACCCTCTGCAGACATTTCCTGGCTGGCCTCCCTGTGGTGGTGACAGGTACCAGATGATGACAACCTGGTCACCGAGCTGGGGAGTTGTTTTCGAGGGGGAGCCTCAGGCAGCTCAGAGCAGGGCAGAGCAGAGCCATTTCCACTTGGGGGGCCAGCAACAGGAGGGGATCCAAGCAGAGGGTATGTGCGGAGGCCTCAAGGCAGGATCTGGCTCTGACCACGCAGCTCGGGCCCTGGCGGGGAGGGGCCTGGCTGTGCGGTTCTCCCAGGTGACAATGACAACAAAGAGAGCGCTCCCCACCCCCTTGGGGCTGATGGGTGCACACAGGCTCCGATGGTGAATGAATGACTTCATTACAGTCACGAGGGCCGTGGGCGGAGGGAGGATCAATCACTTCCGTGCTCTGAGGACAAGCCCTCCCCCGGGCTGGCCTGAAGGAGGGGGTGTGAGGCAGGGGACGGTCCAGGTGGGCAGGCACCTGGGCCCTGCTGCAGCCGGGACTCAGAGGGGGCAGAGCCACACTGAAGAGGGTCCCCGATCACTGAGGGGGGTGGTCCAGAAGGGCTTCCACGAGGTCAAGTTTCCCCTCAGCAAGCTTCAGACCGCTTGGGTTTGCACCCTGGCTCTGCCGCTTGCTGGATGTGTGATGCTGACAAAGTGCCTAATGGCCCTGTGCCTCAGTCTCCCCATGTGTGAACCGGGGCTGAGGGTTGTCCCTACCTCACCAGGGTGAAGAGAGCAGCGCGGGGGAGGGAGAGCCATGGAAACAGTGAGAAAAGAGGGCAAAGAAGGGGTCAGAAGAGGGTGGAGGGTGAGCAGGTGGCAGGGAGGGGAGGGTGGAGGGAACAGAAGCCTCCCTGCTTTGAGCACGTCTCCGGGACTCCATGGAGCTCACGCCCCAGTCCCTGCAAAAGCGCTTCAGGGATTAGGGGTTTGTCATCCTGCAGAGGGCAAGGCTGGCCTCTCCCAATCACCTCAGTCCTCGGGAGCCCAGCCCAGAGCCAGGGCCTCAGCTGAGTTTACACAACAGCCCACTGAGAGCAATGGAGACAACAAGGAACAGCGGGGAGCCCCTCAGGAGAGTCTTGTCAGTGTCGCCCCAGCAGCATCCGCCCCGCAGCACCCGGCCTGGGCGGAAGGGACATCCGGACCAAGGAAAGTTCTTGGAAGTGCCAAGGAGGGAGCCAAAATAAACATGTTAACCGGGAAGCGGTCAGGTAGATAAGGCCTCCCAGAGTGTCAAGAAAAAACAGTTCCCGAGACCCTGCGGCGGGGCCCCGGCCCGGCTGTGCGCCTCCGAGGAGGGGTGAAAGGAGAGGCCCAGCGAGTTGAACGGTCAGCAGCATGTCAAGGGAATCGAAGAGCTGACAGGAGGAAATCCACCCGGCTAGAGGAAGATCCCCCGAAGCAGTACCCCCAGCACACATCCTCAACTCCCAGGTGAGAAAATTGTGGGGTTTCCTGGCTCCTTCCGTCTCTCCCACCCGCCCTGCCCCTGGTGATTTGGTGGGTTCACACAAGGGCCCCTCTCTGCAGGCCTGGTGGGGTCAGAAGCAACCGGAGTTCCTGAAAGGCCCCAATGGCTCCAAAGCACGGTGAGTGAGCAGGTGCGGGGGGCGCACCTCTGGCCTGCTGCCCTGGATTCCTCCCACACCTTCTGATGGGGTACCAAACGACCCCACATCCTGTCTTCTCCCCATGACTCTCCCAGAGCTTACCCATTCCCCTCCTGCCCCCAATGCCACCCCCGCCCCCGCCCCTCCGGAGAGAAGGGGTGGGCAGGGCCTTCGCTGGGCCCTGAGCAGGCCCGTGCCTGCCAGCTGCCAGGGTCCAGTCATGGGGGCTCATCCCACAGGCAGACGGGCTCTTTCTTTTGTCCACAGGCTCCCCTTATCTTTAATGCTTCTGAGGCGGAGAAACCACAGCCTCCTCTGGGAGTTTTTCTGGCTTGGACAACAAGCCCCTGACCGCCTGGCTCCTCCGCCTGGCCTTCTGTCCTCCTGTGGCCCTCCGGGAAAGGACCTTCGGCAGCCCCAAACAGCCACCGGACTAGGCCGGGCAGGGAGATCACGAAAACCCTCAATAATGACTCCGCTGTGGGGACACAGGTGAACGAGCCACCTCTCCGTCCTCCAGGAGCTGGTGGGAGGGCAGCCCCAGGCCAGGGACAAGCTTCCCAGCCAGAAGCCCGGTTCCTGACCTGGCCTCTGACAGTGGCTGTGGGGTCTCAGAGGCCCTCTCGCTTCGGGTGCCTCGGTCCCCACGCTGTACTACAGGGCAGAACATCCCCCTCGGAAGGCTCCTCCGAGGACTCGATCAGATGAAACCCCGCTGGGGGCAGCACTAGGCCCCAAGAAACTGGAGCCCTGCCTTCCGTTCACATGGGGCTCTTGCTGGACCGGAGAAGGAACGGTGGGGAGAGGGGCCTGGGGTGAAAGAGAAAGCACTGAAAGATCGGGACAGTTTCCCCGACAGGCGCCTGGCATGGGGTGCCCCCGGACAGAAAGTGCCACAGTGCTCACCCCTGGCTGAAACCAGGGAGCTGTCTGAGGCCCGCCGCCCAGGCCCCAGCCCAGCCAGTGACAGGAAGCTGGGGGTCCCTGGGGCAGAATCCTGGTAGTAGCTGGGAGAGGGCACCCGAGAACCCAGTGCTTCCCACTCTTGCTTGACCACAGAAACCCATTAAAATCCTCCCAGAGGATGTCAAGAAAGACACACGGGGAAAGGGAAGGCGTTTACAACACAGGCTTTGGAAGTGGGAGGCCTAGTTACATTCCTGCCTCTGCCACTTGAGAGCGCGCCCGCCATCAAACCTGTTTCTTCATCTACAAAGGGGGAAGGACCACACTCTGCAGGCCGGGAGGAGGAGGCGATGAAATCAGAGCATAAAGCCCAAGATCACACCTGGGAAACACTCGTATGCGGTGGGAGCCAGGGCTCGCCACGAGACCAGAGGCATCCCCGCTCCCCACCCCAGTCTTTTACAGCACAGGGGCCGCGTCCACTTCTTCCACAAATCCATGCCAAGGACCTACGACGTGCACAGAACTGACCGTGGTGACCAACGCGGACCTGGTCCAGGCCACCCACGTGCCAAGGCTGGCAGGGGGGTGAAACAGAACCATACTTCATTCAGATAGACAGTGAGTATGAGGGAGAACTGGGGAGGCCCGTGAGACTGTAACCAGGATACCTGACATCTCAGGCACGTCGGCCAATATCTGAAGGATTAACAGGTGCTCACATGGATGAGCTGGAGATGAGGGTGGAGGCTGGTACAGGGGCAGAGAGGAGGGAGCCTTACTAGGGCAGGGAGAGGACAGATGGGTAATGTCCTTAGAACAAGCAGTGCCCAGTTGAGGGCTGGAGGTGAGGGATAGAAGGCAGATGTTGGGGACTCCTGGGTTTCTGGTTTCAAAGGCAGGATGGATGGCATGAGACTGCAAGCTCCCTCCCCAACAGAGGCCAATGCACACGTCCTCTCCCCACTTCACCTTTGTCATAGGGCTTCCCCAGTGTACCGCACACTCCTCATTTATTATTTTTTTGTCTCCCCTCCTACTGAAACAAAAGTTCCAGGAAGGCAAGGATGTTTTGTGGCTCACTGAGTAACCCCCAGAGCCTCCAGCCCCTTGAGGGCTTTAGTTCAAGTCTGTCGAATGGCTGCACTTGGAAGAAACGCTGTTGAGATGATAATAAGAAATACCTGTGTTAGGGATCCTGCCAACAAAAGCCTAAGCCAATAAAAAATATATCACGGTCATATACAGCATGATGAGCGTGGTAAGAAAAAAGTGATCACAGCCCCATTTATTCAGCTTGGACTCGCTCCCCCAACCTGTTTTCTTGTTAACAGATTTTATAACAAGCTCCCGTGTTTTGAAGGTTATTTATGTGCTAGACGTGGCACTAAGTACTTTAAAGTTTTAGTTCATTTATTCCTCATAAGGATCCACTTCCCAAAGGCCAACAGTGCGCCATGAGGACTTTGCACCTGTAGTTCCCGCTTCCTGGATTCCACCTGTTCATCCACCAGCTTGCTTCCTAACCCTTCTCTTCTTCAGGGAGGCTTCCCCCCACCCTGCACCACTCCATTCTTTTGGTGTCCCGGACTCTCCTAAAGTTTTCTTTATAGACATCCTCACTAGTTGGGCGCATATTCTATTTTTCCTTATTGTTTGACTACTCAACTAAAGTAGGAGAGGAAAACAGGACCTGGTATACAACAGGGGCTCAATAAGTACCGAATGAAGAAATGCCCCACTCTGAGCCTCAAGTGCTGTTACCAGGCCCATTTTACAAAGGCGGATACTGAGGTACACAGAGATCAAGGCCCTGGCGCTCAGCCTCGTGAGAGGGGCTGCCGGATCCACCCCAAGCGGTTCAGTCCTTGTACACGTCCAATAATGGTAATTACTATAATTACTGCAGGCTCACTCTGTGCCACGCTCTGAGCTAGATGCCATTCCTAATTTCTGGCAATAACCCGTGGGGCCGGCCCTGTAGTCACCCCCACTTTACAGAGGAGGGAGCCCGCGCCCGAGATCGCCCAGCGAGTCAGGGGCGGGGCTGGGGCTCGACACCGGCGGCTAAACCACCCTCTGCACCCGCCTTGGGCCTCGATCCGGCAGTCCCGCCGCGGCCCGCGCCTCCTCCCTCCGGGGCCCGGCGCTCACCCCGGGACCGGGGTCCGGATCGCGCGCCCACAGCTCCGCCACCATCTCCGTGTGCAGAAACTCAAACAGCGCTACGTCCGCCATGCGCCAGCTCCGCGCGCCCAGCGCCCGCCCAGCGCTTCGTGCTCTCATTGGTCGGGCTGGGAAAGCCCCGCCCCCTGCATCTGGGCGCGAGCCCGCCTCCTCCGCTCCCATTGGTGTTTCAGACTAGCCCCGCCTACCTAGTCCTAACTCACGTGGTGCGTGAGAGAAACTGGGAGACTTAAAAAAAAAAAAAAGAGCCCGCTCCTTTTTTTCATTGGCCACACGTGACCGCGTCGCCGCTCTTCTCTCCGTCTCCTCTCTGTTTCCGGGTCCTGGAAACGGGACTTTTTTTATCTCGAGTTTTCAGACTTTCCTCGCCGCACAACCCGGAAGCACCTTCGAGCCGCTTCCCTATTGGCCAGACCTATAGTCACGTGTCCCTCCACGCCCGCCTCAAGTCCGACGCTTGCTTCCGGGTTGCTAGCCAACGGGCTCCCGAGTCGGCGCCGCGCCCGCCCAGCCCGCTCGCTGATTGGCTGCGCCGCCTCCCTCGGAGCCGAAGCGGCGCGACGCCTGAGGAGCGGATCCCGCGGACTCCGAGCTTCGGGGACCCGGTACGGCCTCGCGGGGTGGCGCCCCCGCCCCGAGCAGCGCGTCGCCGCGTCCCGTGTGTCCGGAGCCCGCGTGCTTGCGGGCCCGGCCTGGAGGGCGCGGCCTCGGGCCGGGGCAGAATCCGGAAGAGCCGGGCTCGGGGCTCGGGCTGCGGAGCCGGGCGGGGCGCGCCTCGGTCCCCCCTCGGCCCGCGGGGGGCGGGGTCCCGTGGGCCCGCGGCCGGGGCGGGGTGATGAGCTCCGCGTGCGGCAGAGGCGGCTGAGGCCCGGGCGGGGGGCGCCCGCGGCCCGGTCGCTCGGGGGGTGCCGGGGCCGCGGGGCGCGCCCCTCACGCCGCCCCCCGCCCTCTCCCCCCAGCCGGCGCCATGGCGTCCCAGGGCCGAGGGCGGAGGCCGCCGCGGAGGCCCGAGACGGTGGTGCCCGGGGAGGCGGCCGAGACGGACTCGGAGCTCTCCGCGTCCTCGTCGGAGGAGGAGGAGCTGTACCTGGGCCCCGCGGGCCCGACGCGCGGCCGCCCCACCGGGCTGCGGGTGTCCGGGGAGGCCGCGGAGACCGACTCGGAGCCGGAGCCGGAGCCGAGGGCCGCGCCGAGGGACCTGCCTCCGCTCGTCGTGCAGCGGGACGCGGCCGGGGAGGCCTGGGGCGCGGAGGAGACGCCGGCGCCCGCCCCTGCGCGCTCGCTGCTGCAGCTCCGGCTGGCCGAGAGCCAGGCGCGCCTGGACCACGACGTGGCGGCGGCGGTGAGCGGCGTGTACCGCCGCGCGGGCCGCGATGTGGCCGCCCTGGCCGGTCGGCTGGCGGCCGCGCAGGCGGCGGGGTTGGCGGCGGCCCACAGCGTGCGCCTGGCGCGGGGAGATCTCTGCGCCCTGGCCGAGCGCCTGGACATCGTGGCCGGCTGCCGCCTGCTGCCTGACATCCGCGGCGTGCCGGGGACCGAGCCTGAGCCGGACCCAGGACCGCGGGCCTAGCCAGGACCCGCTCCCCGCCTGACTGCGCCCCGGGGCGAACTTAGCGGCCTCTGGGACCCGACTCTGTAGCGTGCATAGCCCCCCTCCCTCCCACTTGGCTGTCACCCTCAAGACTAACCCGGCCTCCTGGATAATAATGTGCGTGCTCGCGTCTGTGGGGGCTGAGAAGGGGGGCGACTTGGGTTCACCCTGGGATGCGCCCCAGGCAGCTGGTTTCTCGGCCTTGCTCTGGTTTGCAGCCTGTCTTGAGGCCTAGTTCCCTCCTGGATCCCGCCTTTATTGTGCTCTGCCTTTCTGATTCCTACGCTCTGCTCAGAGGACCTAGTCCCGACTCTTGCCAAGGAGCCCCGGGATGTGGTACATGTTCCCTGTCTCGTCCTTCACCTGACTCCACCTCTGACCCTGGCTCCACTCCTGGGAATGTGTCCTTCTAGGCTGGGCCTTTTTCTGCTCCCCAGACTTGGCCCTGATTACCTGTTAGTTCTAGCCCTTGCTCTGCCTCTCCTGGCGCCAGCTCCTGGCTGAGCTCTTACCCCTCGCCTAACCTTGTTTTCTGAGCCCAGCAGGACCCTTGGGATTAGTTTTGCTTTTTTTTTTTTTTTTTGCTTTTCCCATCCTGTTTCTACTGCCTGTCTGCTCCACGGCTCTGGAGACATCCCTCAGTAGGCCCAAGTGAGGCTCCCTCCTGGCCCAAGGGGTCCTCCTCTCAACTCTTCATATTCAAGATTCCTCTGCCAGACCCAGGATGATGTGTCCTCCCACCCTCCAGACCAAGGTGGCATCTTAGGCCCAAGCCCTGGGTACAAGATGGGCTACTTCCTAATTGATAGTGTCAAGTGTCCAGCACTTAGGGCCACATACAGCCACACCCCATACTTTGGGTGCTTATGACACCCCTGTGTATAGGAGGACCATGGCGTTTGTTTGCTGAGTCGGCCCCTGGTTCCTAAGAGGCCTTGGATTTCTGACTCAGCTCAGGGTCTGGAGTTAGCAGCTCTGCTCCTTTTTACCTCTGGTCCCAGCTCCAGCACCTCCCCCATTCATCTCCCTCCCAGAAGCTGAGCTCTGAGCCTCCAAGATGGGGCATGGGCAAAGGGCCCTTTAAAGTGAACATTTACTGCAAGGACCAGTTTCTCTTGTCTCCCTACCTCAGTTGGGGGTGGGTTGGTTGGTGATTTCTCTTAATAGGAGTCCCAGAAGCAGGATCCTACATGCCCAGCCATGAAGGTGAAGCTGTAGACGGCTATCAGGGCCCCTGGTTGTGCACCCTCATTCTGCATGTATTTGACCCTCATTAATTCCACACACATTTATTGGGCTCCAGTTTTGTGCCTGAGCACTTGGGGGTGCAGCACCCAATCCTAGCCCTCAAAGAGCTCAGTCCACTGGGGAAGACAGACATTAATAAAATATTCTTGTGGATAAATGGATAGATTTCATCATTATAATTTACAGTTTAGATACTGTTTCTGGCATTAAAGTAGTACAGGGGCTTGGGGAGGGTTTAACTGAGCTCTGTCTGACCTTATTTAGGGGTCTAGGAGTAAGATGGCTTCCTGAAGAAGTGATGAGTGGGTTTGAGCAGTGTCTTGAGGGTGTAATAGGTGACAATGAAGTGGGATGGAAAAGAGTTGCAGGCAGGGGAACAGCATATGCAAAGTTTTGTCTGAAGGAAGCAAGGCCTATTTAACAGAAGACAGTGACGTCTGTTCTCCCCTAGAGTGGAGAGAGCTGTGGAGATGGAGGGGGGTTAAGTGGTACCAGCAGGGGCCAGGTAAAGCTGCGCTTTGAAACCGGGTAGAGATGCTTGGTCTTGTTGAACAACCACTAAGCAGAGTAACTGTTTTGTGGAGTCCAGGAACTCACAACCACAGGCCCAACTGGGGTTTGAATTTCCCCTTGCAGAGTGGTCCAGGAAAGGCCAAGCATAAACATGAACTGAAAGTAGCTCTGGCTGAAACCAAGGCACGCACCCTCAAGGAGCCTCAGGCGGAATTACAGCAAATTAAGATCAACCAGATTTATGCTCACAATCCCAAACAACAAAGCACACCCGAGGGTAAGAGGAGAGAACTGACTAAAACTGCAGGATTCCCCTAAATTTCAAGAGTTTGAAATAGCTGCAGTGGGAGCCGGGAAGGCAAAAATCAAGTGTTGGTGGAAAGTCTGTTTAAGAAGTAGTTGACAGGGACTCCCTGGTGGTCTAGGGGTTGAGTCTCAGTGCTATCACCGCGAAGACCTGAGTTCGATCCCCGGCCAGGGAGCTTACCCACAGCAGACCTCTCCTGTCTCCCCACTGCTGCCCTCAGCAGTGTATTTCAGTAGATCCACCTGTTCTGCTCCCCACGCTATCTGGTGAATTCTCACGCCCGCACCTCTGGCCTGCATCCCGGTTCTACACAAAATGAAATCTTTTTTTAAAAAAAAGGAGTAGTTGCTCCCTGATAAGTCTGTCCTCACTGTGTGCCCACCCCCTCCTGAGTTCTGGACAAAGCCTGGGGATTCATCCTTCCAGGGAGAAAGGCTGTCGTGCTGGGGGTGGGGTGGCAGGTCTGAAACGGGGATTGAGAGCATGTAGGTGCATCGGTAGCAAGTCACGCACCTTCCCCGGCCTAATACTGAAAGATGAAGATGTAGAGAGAAATACGCCGCCTGAGACAGGCGCCGGGAGAGCTTGCTCGGTAGCCCGGGGGCTGGTTATAGCCTCACCGTTCCTTGGAGAAGTGTGTTTTCCCCTCAGTTGCCTCCCAGGGGTCCTCCCCCAGGCATACAAGTGAAAGAACCCGAAAGGAGAAAAAGCTAAACCCCAGGAGGTTCCTCAGGAGAATGCAGCGGCAGACTCCTCTGTCTCCTCCAAATCCCAGAAACAACACTTCTTCCAAGAAGGAACTAGCCGGTGGTGATCTTGATGAGCCCGCAGGGGTGGAAGTCTTCCCACGAGAGAGAAGGCTTTCCCCAAAGAGGAGCCAGTTGGCGAACAGGACGAGACAGGAAGCAGGTTGTCTCCAAGAGAACGAGGACATTCTGTCAGACAGGAGCCGCTCAGCGGTGAGCCAAGGAGGCGCCCTTTGATGGCCTGATAAGCTCTTGTCAGGGAGACTTTGATTCCCGTGAACACTTGCAAGTCAGTATATCGAAGAACTCTTTGTATATTCATTGCCACGCGAGAGAAGAAGGCCACTGTGGGTTCACCAATAAGACGAGGGTGGGTGGCACCTTCAGTGCCCTAGATCTGGGGGAATTCATGAGCTTCGTCACTGGTCGTACATGCCAGCTGGCACCTCTTTTCTACAGAGGCCTCTCAATTGGTAAGAGCAGGACGGGTTGTGAAATATCTGCGACTGGAGTCCTGGCAGTGCTAAGGTTTGGCTTTATCACCTGCCCAGCTTCGGGCTCTTGGCCCACCCGTGTTGTGATTTGTGGTGTTGGGCAGTCTGATCCTGGGGACAGCTGCGCTGCTCCAGGTTGTTCATGAGACGCCCTGTGAGCCCACCAAAACGGTCGTTGGTTTGGCATAGATCAGAGTTGTCCTAAGAGTTGGTGCTAGTGGGCCGCCCTGGTGGTGCAGGGGTAAAGTGTCAGCCCTGTGAAGCTGTCCGCAGCCACTGCAGCACGAGTTCAATCCCCAGCCAGGGAGCTACCCACATGGTGCAGCAGACCTCTCCTGTCTCGCCCGCTGCTCCCCTCAGCAGTGTATTTCAGTCCATCTGCCTTTATTGCTCCCCGCTCTGTCTCTGGTGAATCCTCTCACCCCCTGCACCTCTGGCCTGTACCCCAGTTTTTATATGCATAAATAAATGAATAAAAAAAAGTTAGGGGCCTCCATGGTGGCGCTGCGATTGAGCGCTGGGTTGCGAAGCTGCCCACAGCCTCTGCGGCGCTGGTTCGATCCCCAGCTACCAGACGAGGGTCCCACATGGCACGCAGACCTCTCCTGCCACCCGCTGCTCCCCTCAGCAGTGTATTTCGTCAGTCTGCCTGTTCTGTTCCCCGCTCTGGCTCTGGTGAATTCTCTCACCCTCCCGCGCTTCTGACTGTACCCAGTGCTTGTATAGATAAATAAATAAATACTCTTAAAAAAAAGTTAGTGCTAGGACTGTGGATGACTCCGTGAGGTGTTTGGGGGTGCTGCCTGTGGGCTACCCCAGGGCTTGGTGACCATGTTGCCTTCACATGTCACCTCTGAGCCAGCACCGCGCTTGTTTTCAAGGCAGAGGGGAAGTTCCAGTCACTGATTTTACCTGAGCAAGGGCCAGTCCTTGAAAGCTCCCATCATTGTTTTCCTGAGTCCTGTAATCTCACGAGACTGAAGGAGAGAGTTGGGGTTTTAGCTGTGGGCCCCAGATCCTTCCATTCATCTGTCAGGTGCTCAGAGTGGCCAGGATGAAATCTAGTTGGTTCTTCTGCATGACAAGGGGTTGGCTCGCCGCCAGTCAGATGGCTTCACTAACATGATCATGGTCTGCAAGTCTGGTGCAAGAGGGTGCCGGGTGTCCCCTGGATGGGGAGGAAAGCGATAGGGTTAGTAGGAGTAAAACGAGTGAGGAGAACCCAGGGTGGAGGATCAGAGAGAGAGAACAGCACAGATTGAAACAAGCCCTGTTCAACCAGCCTTTCAATAAATGGGGAAAAAGGGGAAACTTCCATTGAAGACGTCTGTGAACTTATTGCGAACCCCCTCCCTGGCCTAGCAGGGGGAGCACAGCCTCCTGCGTGGACGTAAAGTCAGGGCAGTTCAGCCAGTGATGTGAGGCGGCCACGGGAGAGTCGGGCTAGGACAGGCCAACTTCTCACCCGCCACAGGTGACCCAGGAGCCGCCCAGAGGAGATTTTAACCCTGTGCCTGGGTTGCGCGTCTCTGCAGCGTCTTCAGAGGTCAGGGGAGTACCTGGGCCCAACCTGTGCCGCCTCTGCGCACAGGCAGCAGCCACGTTTCTTTAGGTCAAGAAAACTCGGGAAATCCGAAGATCGAAACCCACAGAGGAAAACCAGAAGCGCCCTGTGGAGAATCACCACAGGTTTTTTTTTTTTTTTTTTTTTTTTGTGTGTGTGTGTGTGTGTATGTAGAAGAGCTGGGGTACCGGCCAGCAGTGTGTGGGGGTGGAGGGAGGATTCACCAGAGACAGAGTGGGGAACAGAACAGGCTGATGGGCTGAAATCCACTGCTGAGGGGAGCAGCGGGCAGCAGGAGAGGTCTGCTGCGCCATGTGGGTAGCCCCCTGGCTGGGATTGAACTCAGGCCGCAGTGGTGATAGCGCTGAGACTTAACGCCTCGGCCACCACGGAGGCCCCTAAGAGTCATCACGCTTTTACCATCAACGCCTCCCCTTTTCCTCTTCATCCACCACATGCTGCTCTGTGAGGTGTGTACGCTGAACTCACACTTGGGACTGAACAAAATAGATGCAAAAAAGCAAAAGACCCGCCTTCACAGAGTTCATGTCCTGGTGAGGGGAGATGCAGGCAAATAAGATAAATACACAGTGTGCCAATGGCGGTGGGATTCAGGAGAAGAAATTAAAAAGACACCCTGGGGATGTGCAAGTTCCAGTTTTTATAAAGGTTGGTCAGAGACATGACGGGAAAAAAAACCTCAAGGAGGTGAAGGAGGGAGTTCTGGAAGTTATTGGGGGTGGAATTTCCGGGGAGAAGGAAGAGGCAGTGCAAAGGTCCTGAGGAAGAGAGCAGTGCTTATGGGAGAAGCAGGCATGTGGCCACTGTTGAGCGTGGTGGGGGGAGCAGGAAGAGTTGGGGAGATGCAATTTCAGGGCTCCTGGAAGGGTTCTGAACAGAAGAGGGATATGACACTAGGGCGTGAAGGTAGAAGCAGGAAGATGAGGTGTCCATTGCTCCCGGGAGGTGCTGAGAAGGCAGCTTTGGGCTTACCAGTGTGGAAGTGATGGGAACCAGAGCGGCTTGGGTGGCATGGGGGGGTCGGGAGCCCAACTGGAGTGGGTACAAAAGGGTTTGGGAAGAGAACCAGTGTGGACAGATCTGGAACTATTGATTGAAAGGGGGGAGTTGGGGGCCTCCCAGGTGGCGCAGCGGTTGAGCGCTGGGTTGCGAAGCTGCCCGTGGCCTCTGCAGCGCCGGTTCAATCCCCGGCTGCTCCCCGGCCACCGGAGGAGGGTCCCACATGGCGCGCAGACCTCTCCTGCCGCCCGCTGCTCCCCTCAGCAGTGTACTTCGGTCCTTCTGCCTGCTCTGCTCCCTGCTCTGGCTCTGGTGAATTCTCTCTCCCTCCCGCGCTTCTGACTGTACCCAGTGCTTGTATAAACAACAACAACAACAAAAAAAAAAAGTATAAAAAAAAAAAAAAAGAAAGGGGGGAGTTGGGGCCTCCTGGACAGCACAGCAGGTTGAGCGCAGCGCTGTGAAGCTGTCTGCAGCCTCCGCGGCGCTGGTTCGATTCCCGCCCTGCCCAAGGAGATTCCCACATGGCGCGCAGACCTCTCTTGCCTCGCCTGCTGCTCCCCTCAGCAGTGTCTTCGGTCCTTCTGCCTGTTCTGCTTCCCGCTCTGGCTCTGGTAGATTCTCTTGTCCTCCCACGCCGCTGGCCTGTACCCCAGTGCTTGTATAAGTAAATAAATCTTTCAAAAAAAAAAAAAAGAAAGGGGGAGTTGATGATAAGAAATGGGTCAATACCTGCCCAGGGAAGGTGGGAGAGAGGACAGCAGATGTGCGTGCTGATGAGAATGATACAGAAAAGCAAGAAGTTGTGAGGCAGGGGAAGGCAGGAGGAAAGCTGTGGCGATGTCCTTGGGTCAGCTGGAAGGAGGGGGAGCTAGAGCCGGGGGAAGGAAGAGTGTGTTTATTTTTTATTTTCTCTTTAGATTTATTTATTTATTTGTACAAGCACTGGGCACAGTCAGAAGCGCGGGAGGGTGAGAGAATTCACCAGAGCCAGAGCAGGGAGCAGAACAGGCAGACTGACAAAATACACTGCTGAGGGGAGCAGCGGGCCCAGCAGGAGAGGTCTGTCGCGCCATGGGGGACCCTCACCCAGTGGCCGGGGAGCAGCTGGGGATCTAACCGGTGCCGCAGAGGCTGCGGGGCAGCTTCACAACCCAGCGCTCAACCGCTGCGCCACCGGGGAGGCCCAGGAAGAGTGTGTTTAGATGCATGTCAGCAGGTGGCGATGGCTACTCTGGGTCGTCACTTCTAGGGACTAGCGGGTCCCACCGCTGCCCCGTGAGCCTGTGAAGACAGGACTGTGACTGTTGGTACCACAGGGCCAGGCACGAGCAGATGCCAGATAAATGTTCGTCGAATAGTGCCTGACTGTCCCTCACAACATCACACAGCTTCACCCTTTCAGCTGCACGGAGCTTTGGGGTACTGGCGCCCGGCTTCCTCCAGCACTGATGGACACGCGGTCCCACGAACACATCGCCTTCAGCCACGCAGGTTGAGATGGTCAGACGTGCACCAAATGCTGCTCGGCATTCAGTCCACAAATATTAACTCTGTTTCAAGGGGAAGGGTGGGCAAAGTAGAAGGAGCAGTGTGTGCAAAGGCCCAGGGGCAGGAAAACGCAGGGGGTGTTTTTGGAACTAGATAAACTGTCTGCTGCATCTGGGCTCCCACTGAGGACCACTGGCAGGGGGTTCAGCTGAAGACTCAGGCAGGAACCAGGCCAGGCAGGGCGGCGTGAGAAGCTGTTTTTGTCCCAAGGGTCTGGGCTTTTTTTTTTAGATTGATTTATTCATGCATACAAGAACTGGGGTGCAGGCCAGAGATGCGGGGGGTGAGAGGATTCACCAGAGACAGAGCGGGGAGCAGAACAGGCAGATTGACCGAAGTACACTGCTGAGGGGAGCAGCGGGGAGTCAGGAGAGGTCTGCGCGCCATGTGGGTTGCTCCCTGGCCGGGGATCGAATTCAAGCTCGGTTCGTAAGCTGGGTCTGAACCCCTTGCGCCACCAGGGAGGCCCTGCTCTGGGGATTTTAAGGCAGTTTGAGCTGCAGAGGCAGGGGCAGGTGTGTGCTTCAGAAACAGCCTGTGGAGTGAAGGGGGACCGAGAAGGAGTGAGACTGGCTCTTCTGAGGCCCCCCATGTTTTACAAAGGCATTCAAGGCCTTATGGTCTGGCCTCTGGCCCCCCTCACCGAGCCCGGAAGCAGCCGGCGAGCTCATTCAGCTCACAGGTCGCATTGCTGCCCCCTAAGCTGCCAGGCTTGGGGGTGGGGTAGAGGTGGGGGTGCGTTGCACGGGGTGGGGTGGGCTTGCACTTGCAGCCCAGGCCTGGGATCATCTTCCCTGCGGAGGCGCTCCAGAGTGTTGTCTCCTCTGTCCACCCCTGTACCCCGCAGCTCCCCCGCTGCAGCCAGCACACAGCACATATTTGGGTGGAATTAGTGAATTTTAAAAAATGAATGATCCCTGCAGCCCGTCGGGATCCCCTGCAGCCGGGGCGGAGAAGTCTGGACTCAGGCCTCACCCGTGGACACCCAAGCCAGCCGGAGCTCCAGGCAGAGGTGCGGGCAGCGGCCGCGCGGCTGGACGAGTTCTGAGGCAGAAGCTGGGGCTGAGGGTGGGGCTAGGTCCAGGGGCGTCGGGGTGCGGTCTGGGCGGAGGGGCGGCGCTGGCCTGGGCTGGGCAGGACCCCGGCGGGGTGGGGGCAGGAATGGGGCTGGATTCCAGCTAAGGGCTTGGCTGCCACCGCCCCTTCCCCACAGCGGGCATCGCAGGATCCCAGGGGGCCCGCCCTCCACCGCCCCAAGCTCGCCCTCCGCTACCCCCGCCTCCCGCCCGCCTTCCTGCGGCTCCCCGACACCAAGTGTCCCCCCCACCCCCGCAGGGAGCTGTGTGGGCGCGGACTTCGCAGGCACCTGGGAGAAACGGCTCCAGGTGAGCAGCTCGGCACCGTGAGTGACCCCGCGGCCGCGCTCCCCTCCCGCCACCGCCCTCTGTCGGGGAGCCCGCGCGGCGCGTCCTGCGGGGCGGGGGAGGCTGGTGACTGTTTCCAAGCCACAGGGCTGTGAGATCCGGGAGGCTACGGAGTCGGTTGTCGGGGCGCCCTTTTGCAGGGCCCAGCAGGTGCCACTGTTCCAGTTAGGTCTGGTTCTGTGTTTTAGACTCGGTCGT